TGTGGTTAGTGTGGTAAGTCAGTTCATGCAGAAACCTCTGGTTCCTCATTGGGATGCAGTTCTAAGAATTGTAAGGTATTTAAAAGGGGCCCCTGGTCATGGTTTGATATACAAAAGTGGTGGAAAACTTGAAATAGAAGGATATAATGATGCTGACTGGGCCGGTTCTATGTCTGATAGGAGGTCTACCATAGACTATTGCACTTTTCTTGGGGGTAATCTGGTGACATGGAAGCAGTGCAGAGGCAGAATATAGAGCTATGGCACATACTGCTTGTGAATTAGTGTGGCTAAGGAACCTTCTATAGGAGATAGGATACAATATTAACACTCCAATGAAGCTCTATTGTGACAATCAGGCTGCAGTTCATATTTCTTCTAATCCGGTGTTTCATGAAAGAACCAAGCACATAGAGGTTGACTGTCACTTTGTGAGAGAGGTGTTGAATGGAGTGATGGGCACTGCATATGTTAACACAGGGAACCAGTGGGCAGACTTATTTACAAAAGGGTTGAGTCATGGGAGAGTGGCCTACATATGTAACAAGCTGGTATTATATGATATATACTCACCAGCTTGAGGGGGAGTGTTAGTGTAGGGGTATTTCTGTCTTTATACTTATGTTGAGGTTGTTGATCTGTAATATTATATTAGAACTAGTGTCCCTCACTTAAGTAAGGGCACATGTGTCTTTTCCATTATGTTAGTAATATAAAACATGTCTGGCCGAATGGGAGAGGTGATTTTTTTCCCTGATTCAAACCAGACTTTTCTTCTCTCCTTTTCTCCTCTTTTCTCTCTCTCTTTCCTTCTTCTTTCTTCTTCTCTCTTCTTGGTTGTTATCAGACTAACAGAACTCAAAGGCATTGTAGGGGTTGTTACCCACCTTCAATTTGTAGATGACATTTCTTTTGTGAGGGAGGTAATAAGGAGTGGTAAACCTAAAGTTGTTATTGGATAACTTTGTGGGGGTGACAGGTTTAAGGATAAATTGGACCAAAACAGGCATTGTAGGGGTCAATTTGGAGGAAGGGGAACTCAATAGATTTGTAGAGATTTTGGGGTGTGAAATTAGAAGTTGGCCAATTAGCTACTTAGGGTTACCTTTAGGTGGTAACCCTAGGTCAAAAGGTTTTTGGAAGCCAATCATTGAAAGATTTGCTAGGAAGCTAGCTCTGTGGAGGAGGAATCATATCTCTCTAGGTGAAAGGATAACATTGATTAGAGCCACTTTGGCAAACCTCCCTATTTACTTCCTTTCAACCTTTAGAATACCCTGTAGAGTAGCAAGGAGGTTAGAGAAATACATGAGAGATTTCCTTTGGGACCCAGGAGAGGAGAGGAAGACTCACTTGATTAATTGGGATCAAGTTAGAAAGCCCAAGGATAAAGGGGGTTTGGGAATAGGAAATATTTCACTTAGGAACTCAACTCTGTTAGGAAAATGGCTGTGGAGATTCCCTTTTGAGAGAAACAGGGTGTGGCACAAAGTCATTGTGAGTATTCATGGTTTGGATGGAAATGGTTGGGATGCAAAAGTTGCCCCTCATGTTTCCTCAACTTCTCCTTGGAAAGCAATTTATGAAATTTACCCAATATTTCCTTAATTCCATTCGTTTTGATGTGGGCCAAGGTAATAAAGTTCATTTCTTGGGTGGGAGATAGTCCACTTAAAGACCTTTTTCCCTGGACCTATACACTTTGTCAAATTTCAAAGGGGAAACAACAAGTATGTTGGGAAATCTTGGCCCAAATGGGGTCAATTGGAATCTGGGTTTCAGAAGGGGCCTTAGGGAAAATGAATGTGCCTCTTTAGTTCAATTGCTGGATCTAATAGGACAAGTCCATTTGGACCCATCCTTGGAAGATTCTAGAATATGGAAAGGCTCCTCAGATGGCCTCTTCTCTTGTTCCTCCTTTTTACTTGCCTCACCTAGCATCCTGGTTGGGGATTTCCCTATGAAAGAAATTTGAAGTAAGCTTATCCCCCCAAAAATTCAAGCCTTCTGTTGGGAAATTTTCCTTGGCAAGGTTAATACTTGTGATATGTTGTAGAGAAGAAGGTCTTTTGCTTGCCTTTCTCCTCACATGTGCTCCCCTTGTAAGGAAAGTGGTGAGACCTTGGCACATCTATTATTATCTTGTTTCTTTGTGCATCACATTTGGGAATTTTTTTGTATTCTCTTTGGTTACAGGTGGGTTTCCCCTCAAGATGTGGCAAAATTGTTCAACCGAGACTTTTTGAGGCAACCAAAGAAAAGATGGAAGGTTATGTGGAAAGCTACAAAGGTAGCTATTTGTTGGATGATTTGGGAAGAAAGGAATAACAGAATATTCTTGGACAATAGTAGAACAATGGAGGAGGTAATCGACATAGTTAAAGTTAAAGTAGCTCATTGGGTAAGATATCTGCATATCTTTCAAGATTTCTCTATCATAGACATTATAAGATCTTGGACAGAAGTAGCACAATCCTCAAGAGTGAAAGAGAGAGCAAGGATGGAATGGAAACCTCCAGATGGCAACATAATTAAATTGAATTTTGATGGAAGCTCTATTGGAAATCCGAAACTGTCAGAGTGTCAGGTATTGGGGGAGTAATCAGAAATTCTGAAAGGAGAATATTAGCTTTGTTCTCTGGACCGATTGGCATGGGCAACTCTCTAAAAGCTGAGCTAATGGCACTGCTACAAGGACTGAAGATAGCTAAGCAACTAGGAATGAGGCATATTGAGGTTGAAGGGGACTCCAAGGTGATCATCTCTTGGGCTAAAAACAATAGAAGTACTCTGTAGACTTTCAATGGGTTAGGTTGCAAAGGAGGTAGATGCTGAATTCAAATGGGTTGGGAGTGCAAATGGGCTAGCTGATTATCTTGCTAAACAAGGGGCTTTGAGGCAACAATTGTTTTGGACTGCAATGAAAAGAGGGACAGAAATATGTAATAGTGTGGGAGCTTTAATCCCATACACAAAGTTGTAAAACTTTTTTAACTCTAATTTCAAATAAAATTCTCCTTTGATGATAAAAAAAAAAAAGACGAAGATGAATTTGACATAGAAGAAGAAATAGAAGAAGAGAATATTGATGATTACAAATATGATGAGTATGAAGATGATATGGAATTTCCAAATGAAGAAGAGGAAAATGCTAGAATCTTGAGGAAAGAAGAATCAAGAATGGATGAATGGATTCAATGGACATATGAGAATTTGATTTTGAGATTTAGTATAGGCAGTAAACTTGCTTTTTGTATAGGTTGTGCTTTGCATTTTTAAATACTTAATATATAGCTTGTTTTTTGAAATATTTTTCAAATCTGATTCCTTACTTGCTTATTACAATAAATGATTAATTTTTATATTGATTTTGTTACATGTGAGTGTGACGGTGTGAGCCATGGAGAGGATACCGATACTAAGAGCTAAGTGTCTTTTAGCTTTGTTAATGCTGATTATTTAATGTTGTATAGGTTGTGCTCATAGTCATATTCTTTAATTCTTTTATATTTATATTTTATATTTTTATATTGAACCATTGAATGTGTTATACTGTTCTGTTATTTTTTTTTTTGTAGTCTAGTCTCCTTTAATTATTTAATGCTGATTTCTTAATTCTGTACTTATTGCATATTTTCCTGATTAACCAATTGAACCATTGCTGATTGCATATTCTTTAATTCTTTTATATTTAATGCTGATTTCTTAATTTTTATATTGAATCATTGCTGATTGCATACTTTATCAGTTTATCTCTAATTTTTATTTCTGTAGATTCAAGATTGATCATTGATGATTGCATATTTTCCTGATCAACTTCAAATTGCTGATAAGCTGATTACATACTTTACCTATAATGAGTAATGAATAATGAGTAATGTCTGATAATCTAAGTATCTAACCAATTAAGCTAATAATTAAGTAATTAACTTTGTTTTTTGAAATTTTCCTGATTTCTTAGAATTTCTACATTTTTTTATATTTTTTAAGCTTTTTTTTTTTATTTTGTGCGCCTTTTTTAAAAAGGCATGCGCCTCGCCTTGCGCCTCAGGCGCATTTGGAACATGTTGCATTTTGTGCGCCTTTCGCTTTTAAAACACTGCTCTGCTTAGGTCTGAAGGAGTCTTCAAATAAACTTCCCACATATTATCCAGCGAATGCCAATCTTCTACAACATTTTCTGCTTTTGTTTTCTTTCTGGAAATGAATATCATGCATGTACCAAAATTGAGCACTCTCAAGCTGTAGCTATGGAGCAAAATAATCAGTAATCAACAAACAACAAAAAGCAACAGCAATCAGGGCACAGGAAGGGGGGAGTACTTAGTATGTTTCACTATGGAGTTTGTAAAGGGACAATTAGTTGTTTTGGGTCAATTCCCTAATCCCTAGTCCAAATTAGAGTTTGTAAAGGGACATCTGAGTTAATAACTTAAGTCTATAAATAGTCATTGTAACTGAAGTTCAAGATGAGTTGATTGGAAGAATTAAAGTTTGGTTTAGTGAAATATGACAGTTGCCAGAAATTTTTTTTCTCATTTTTCCCCTCTCTTTCTACCAATAAAAGCAAGAATTCTTCTCTCTATTTCTGGTTTCTTGCTCATTCTTTGGTGAACAGAAAGCTATCTACTTGTTTTTCTACCCTTATTCTTCATCTTGGATCATGAAAAGCCCTCTTTCACCCCTACAAAGCCCACCACCAAATCTTATAGTAGAACCCCTACCCTGTCCTACATCAATGGATAACATAGTAAATAGAAAAAAAAAGTCTAACAGATAAAAAATAGACTTTAAAATTGATGAGAGCATAAACTAAACTTAAGCTCCTTAAAGCTAAAAAAAATCTGTCATCAACTGCAACAAAGGAAATAGCATTCAAACAAAAGCAAATTATTCCACAAGGCAAAATTAAGTTACCAACTTACCATTAATCATTGCAATTGACAACAAATCCTCATATGAGATCAATATATTATAAATCAGGAATCAAGCAATATTACCTTTCTCTCTTTGCAATCTTCTTCACGAGGTCGGGCAATCTTCTCTTTCATTGAATCATATACACCATCATAGTCAAATATTGAAGGGTCTTCCTCCAAAGCTTTCTTCTGCTGTTCTTCAATCTTCAGAAGATAAAGAGAAATGAAAAGAAATCACTAGTAAGAAGTTTGGGAAAACAAGAGATGCAAAATTTTCAAGTGCTTACATCCTTTAGAGACTTATTCCTGGTGGCATGACGAGCAATCTCCTTTTCAACATCATCATCATCATCATCATTGAAGCCAGGAGGAGGGGCAAGAGGAGGTCTTTTTGGCTGCTTCTTCTGCTGTGATGGTTGAACTCTAAGTTGCAGACCATACTTCTTCATTTTGCCTGTCAACATATAGAAAGAAGAAAAAAAATATCTATATCACAAATTGTGCCATCATGCAAAAACCAAAAGTACAGAATGCATAGAAAAATATCCATATATGCATCTGTGTGTGAAAATGGTTTCTTAATTGGGTCAAGCAGGAAGCTTCACCACACAATACCCAATTTCTGGTAATGTAGAGTAATAATGCAACCAACCCAAACTAGCCATTGAACAGGGAGCCTTCATTCCAGATCCTATCCTTTCTAATTTTTCCACTCTTCCATCTTTTTTTTTATCAATAACTCTTTCTATTATGAAGTAATCACATTCATAAGGGTTTGACAAAAGTTTTAGTGCCAGCTGCCAACTTGACACAACCCTCCTTTATCTGGGCTTAGGACGGATGGTGTAAGACAAAATCACACCGACAGAGTTAGGTGGTAGTAATATGTATTGGAAAAAATAACTACAATCAGTTAAATAGCATCCTAGCTGAGGCACTAGGATGTCTAACATCTAGTTGGCCAATGAGATACTTGGGTTTATACCATTAGGAGCCAATCCTACGGAGGTAAGCTTTTGGAATCCCGTGCTGGAAAGGTGTGCTAAGAAACTGGCAGCTTGGAAGAAAAGTTATGTGTCCCTTGGGGGTTGAATTACTCTAATTCAATCCACCCTGGTGAACCGGTCCTTTTTCTTGCATACTAATTCCCATCTAACCAAATGATCCTTTCTTCCCTCTCCAGGCTCCCACAAAAAGTTGTAAAGAGTCAGTTTTCTAAACACAGACTGGTTCACCAGTTTTCCAGTTAAACGAGTCAGTTTTCACCGTTTTTTTATCAAGTGCGGTCCAGTCTGGTTTTCTAAACACTAATAGAGCCAAATCAAGCATCATAAAAGTCATTACTTAAGTCCTAAATATAGAACAACAAACATAAGGTTTGTCCACATGCTAGAAGCTTGGTAGCTGGATGGTCTTAGTAAGACAGACAAGGCAATGAGGAATACGTGTCCTGTTGCAATAGTTTGGACAATTTGGATTGAGAGAAATAGTCATCTTTCTTCTCTGATAAAGCAAATGATGTTTTCCATCTACTATATAAAAAGAGAGTTTCGTGCTCTCTGTTTTTGGTCTTTTGTCAATGATCAATTTTTCCACTATTTACCCCTACAATAATTTCTTTATTTCCTTCCCGATAGAATTTTGTAATTTGTGTTGCTTCTGAATCCCACCGACAATGTTTTTCTCGCACGCTCTATCTATCTACAACTCTCTGTATTTGACAGCGTTTAGAAAACCAGACTAGACCGTCCAGTCAGACCGGTTGAACCATGACTTGGACCCTTAACCAGTTCGGTCACACCCTAAAATCTGGAACTCATCAAAACCATTCAAAGTCATCTGCTCGGACAGTTTAACCAAAAAAATCGATCAACTGATCCTGGTTTTATACAATGGCCATTAATCCACCACTTTATTTATGTTTATTTATGCCTTTTTAATGCATATATTGCTTTTTTTGGTAAAAAAATGCATATATTGCTTTAATACACTTGCATTTTAAAGAATGAAGAAAAAAAGACTTTAACTCTGGTCATTTGCTTAAAAATTAACAAAAATAACCATCTATGCACCACACTAAAGTGTGATATTATTTGTAGAATATGTTATATATAGCATTTATATGGCTTGAAACATATGTATATGTATATGTTTGTATGTATGTGTGTGTATATGTCATGACATCACAGTTCGACCTCTGGTTTGACTGCAATTGAACCTCTGACCTGTGAACCTATCCCTTTTCCAATTCTATGCCCAGTGTGATTCTCTGAACATTGGTTTTTAGTCTTTCATCAATAGTCAAATTTATATACACCTCTATAATTTCTTTATTTCCTTTCTTAAAGAATTTTGTGATTTGCTACTTCTGTATCCTATTGACTGTATTTCCCTCACTCTCTCTCTCTCTCAAAAGAAATTTATTCAGAAGAAGAAGAACTCTTCTTACTATCAAATGAAGAAGAAGAAGAAGAAGAAGAAAAAAGAAGGGTCTACACAACAGGGGTAGCCCATCCCCCCCCCCAAACACAGGTGCAAGCAAGATTCAATCCCAAGTCTCTGCTACAACCAGAAGGAGACCTTACCAACCAGCCAGTTGGCACCTTGCATAAGAAAGCTTTATTCAAAGGTAAAAAAGCATGATTTCAAATTAGGAATTCATGTTTGGTTGTTTTGTTGATTTCAGATTTCTGATAAGGACGTCCGTTGTTGAACATATGAATTTCTTTTGCTATCTATTTCTGTTTTTTTTTTCTGAGGGAGTGTTTTAATGAGGATAATCTTATTCATGGACAACAAATTCCAACGTCTGCTGTCCAATTGTTCTCCTTCTTTTAAAACATTTGCTCCAAATCTATGGTGAACTGTTAGATTGATATGTTGTGAGAAAAAAACTGGATTTCTTTTAGGCTAATTGGTTGAATGGCTAATATTAATTGTGAAAGCCTCCAATACAAGGTAGGGTATATGATTGATTTTCTAATATCAAAGAAAACCAATTAGGGATGCTAAGGCACCATTGGCTGAGGGAAGGAGTAAATGAATTCAGGTGACAAATCACTGGAACTCCACTTTTCTAAGTCTAGGGCATCCATAATGGATTGTCATGGTGGGATAGACAGTGGAAAGTAATTGACTTGCAATAGAAAGCTTCTGTCCATTGCACTTGTGGTTCTGTGAGTATCTCTTTGTGTCTCAGTTATTTGCAAAATAGCATCAAAAGAACTTATAATTGTCATCTTCAAACAAAACAAAGTTAAATTTGAAGCAAAAACAAACCAGAATTTACATTCAACCTATTTATTCTCCCATGCATTTAATCCCGGTAGTCATAGTTCTAGATATAGCTTCCCTTCTAACACAGTCTTTCAGTCAAAAATGCCTGGTCTAACTTTGATTCCTCTAGATGAACCAAAAAAAAAAAAAGAAAGAAACTTTACTTCCTCTAGAGTTGGTACCACCTACCACCCATTGTATCTCTTGCAGAAAATCATCAAATTAGTACCATTCATCTTTGTATATAGAGTTTATCTATTAATTCCAGCAAAAATACAATGGGAAGAATTGAGCAGCATTGTATGGATATGGTCAAGGCAATTGACTTCATGATGAACATGGTAATAGGACTTTCATGTTAACTCTGTACAGTTCTTGCTGGATCATAACTCTTACTAAATAATTTTCTGTTTTCTAATGTCATCTTTTCATTTAAATTAATTTACATTGAAAGCAATAATTAACATATTTTAAATACACGTGCAAAGCATGTGTCACTCTGCTAGTATTGGTAGCAGAAAAAGTAAAAGGTTTACTGATTTCTTGGTTGGCTTCAAATCCTATTTACAGAGGAAGGCTTGTTGACAGTTGTTTTGAGAAAAGCTTTCTTTTTTGTATCTAAAATATGGCTATGTAGTGGCTTCAAATCCTATATTTCCAATGTACAGTCTCTTGCTGTACATGGGTGTTGTTTTTGATGAATGAAATTATACTTTACCTTTTCCAAAAATAAGTTTTGTCCACACACATAGTCATATAGTTCAATATATTGTCAAAGGTCATAGCCTCACATAGGAGCCACCAACAAATTAAGGGCTGGATGCCACATGAAAGACCTCCAACCTGAATATGCATGTATAATTGCTCATTCATGCTTAGACATTCCTAGTACAATGAATAGGTCACAAATCTCTTTCTTCAGAAACTGGAGGGTTCCAAAAATATAGAGTTGGCATCCCTCAACATCATCAATTGGGGTATTCTACAATGAATAGGTCACTTGATCTTCTTTTTTTCATAAGCCAGTAATATCCATCATTAATTTGTTTTCTCTTAAAAATTATCATTTGAAATGAAAAATTACGAGAGTAAAACAAAACTCTGACTAAAAAAGAGTTGAAGGTTTGCCCTTTATTATTTCATTTCCCTGGACAACAAACAGTTAGATGAGAACAATATATGTAGACAAAAAAACATGCATGCTATTATGCAACTTGACTAGCAAATCACTAAACACATGAGGAACCAATTCAATTGAGTAACTTTATCTACTTCGTGAGGAAGTCGAAACCAATACAACGATAATATTGATTGGAGATTATAATAATAACATTGGAGATGCATAACAATTGCTTAAAAGAATTCCAACCTCTCCCTTATAAAGCTTAAAAGAAACATCACTCATAAAGCTTAAAAGTTACTCATCAGAGAGAGAGACATAAGATAAATTTCAACCTCTCCCTTACAAAGCTTAAACATCACTCTGCATAACAATTGCAGATCATCATTTTTTAAATATCGAATCCATAATGTAGATCAGAAAATAAGAAAATCAATTCCCTATAAGACATGCCAAGAGATCCCATGATTCAAGGCTCTACCAATTTTGAAGATCTTGAGGGAAATAAAATAAAACTAGAGTTTCCACTCTTCAAGTGCAGTAACAAGCTTGGACAAGGGGGTTTTGGCCTAGTTTATAAGGTAATTTTTCTCTTTATTAATCAAAGTGTAGTGCAACACTGAATATTCTATAAAACATCATAGAACGGCTAATAGAATGCATTAGTTTAATTTGGATGGGTCCAGGCTAACTTATTTACATAAATAACTTTATCTGAAACTTACAGGGCATGTAGGTCTAGGCTTTTGATAAATAATAATGGCATATAGGATTGCATAACTTACCACAGGTTATAAGGTTAGACGACCAAGAGCCAAATTTGGATGGGTTTCACATGCTGACACCAGCCTGTAGTCAATGAATGATAGTTTTTTTTTTCACTTTTTCTAATTCACATCCGATACTTTGTAACTATTGTAGGTACTTCCTCTGCAGATCAGCAAGACCCAGGAACAAATGGTTCCCGGGAATGACTGCCCACTTTGAGTTTGGAGTCATATGGAACCCCCATATACTACGCTATTGACCACTTCAGCTCAAAACCTGAGATGAAATAGAATTTCTAGCAAGCCTAAAGGGGGGCAACCAAGCAAAACAAGTTTAACGTTCATTTTGGGTCGGGCAGAGAGAGATAGAGAAGAGAAGAGAACGGGATGCAACAACATCTGATACATAACAGATCTGCAATACAAAACAAGTACTCTTTTGTTGCCTTGTGTAAGAACGCTAGCAGAGAGAGAAGAGAAGTATACAAATTCAAATTGATGTAAACAGATTCAAATAACTCATAGAGAGAAGAGAAGTATACGACTACACAAACAATAAAAGAAATGAACAAAATTAAAACAACATTCAGAGAATTTTTGCCTAATTCGAAACATAAACAGACATTAACAAATGTTAAATCCTAATGCATCAATGGAATCTGAAAAGGAAAAACGAGAGATGGTGGTTGGTTATACCTGAACACGATTAAGAATAGCTGAGTATGGATGAAAAACGGAGAACACTGTGAAGAAATTGAACACCGTGAATGGTGAGTCTCGATTAGTACCTGTGAAGAAGATTAATAAGAAGAAAAAGAAAACGAGAAGAACGTACCTGTGTGACTGTGTCGATTGATGCCTCTCGGTTGTTGGGGCAGAGGTTTTCTAAGTCGAATGTAGCTGTTTGATTTCACTTCTAAAAATTACTTCTTAAAGAAGATCCTTTAAGAGCTAGGCTACACGTTAATCGGTTATTGAAGTGTTTTTATGTATTTGGTAAAAAAGTGGGGAAAAAGTACATTTTATTAAAATAAGCATTTCTTAAAAAGGTGACTTGAAATTGATTTTTTTTTTCAGCACTTCCAATAGAATGGGACGAATGGGACGAACCGGTCCCTGATATTTTTTAATACCCAAAATACCCCCACATGAGGGTTTTACCTCCCTCTCCTCTCATTCGAACATGGCGAACCAGAAAATGATCAAAGACGATGAAGATGGATTGATCTAGAATTGAGAATACTGTTTGGTATCACCAGAAGAACAGGAACTTGAATCACCACCGCTACTATCCCCTTTGTCATGCCAACGAAGAACAAAGGATCAAGGATGCATTTGAGGAGCCAAAAACAATAGAGGAAGTTGATGAAGCACTTCAGATTATGATGTATTCCGGAAACCGATAATAAACCACCGATATATGATTAAAAACTAAGTGGATATCACCGTTGCAAGCTGCTTTCCATGACCAAAGTATGGGGATGGGGAAGAAGCAGGAAAAGAAGAAAGGAAGAATAAGAGAATAGGAATGAAAAAGGGAAGATGGGCGAAAGAAGAGGGAGAAGGAATTGGAAACAAGGGGGTTACCGCCGTTGTGTTCTCACCTTCAAGATGAAGACGATGGACAATCCTTCAGCTTCGCAAGTTCAAATCTATATGTAAGGGAAGGGGCAGTTTCATAATTTTGTTAAAAATCATGTAAAAAAATTATGGAAATACTATTCAATATTTGCTAAATTATTATTATTGTTATTTATCAATATTATTCATTATTATTATTATTATTATTTATCAATAATATTTATTATTTGTTGACTTGTTATTATTATTATTATTATTATTATTATTAATTGGGTCCACATGGCGCTTACGTGTGGGTCAACATGGGCTTTCAATTGTCATGATGTGGCATTTTTTCATTGAAATGTATAATATAATATGTGAAAAGTATTGTATATATGTATGAGTGAAGTGAGGGTTAAAATTGTCATTTATGTCAATATAAGCACTTATGAGGAAAGTAACTTACCAAACATCCCCACCTCAATAAGTGCTTAAAAACATAATAAGTGATTTGGCAAGTGAGTCACTTTGGGCCGTAGTTGTGTACCATAAGCTTGGTCTAATTATTAGATGTAGAGTTGTAGACCACTTTGGGCCATTAGGGTCTTTTTTCTGGGTCCTGTCTTCTCATTTAGTGGGCTTTCATCCTTTCACGAGCCAAACAAGAAAAGACCAATTTTGATCTACCAGGCTTTCTGAAAAGCCCATTAGATATTTTAAAATCACTTGCCAAACAAGGCCATCGATCAAAATAAACAAATAAATAAGGATTTAATGTTACATGTCATGTCCAATAATGGGAGCACTTTTTTTGGTAGAAAATAATCGAGCATAAGGTGAGAGTAATTAGGAAGGGGAACAAGAGAATCTTTTTTTTTTCACCTTTATATAGGGATCAAGGAAAGTTAAATTTCCTAGGTATATACCCATCTCCTAGGTGGGTAAATAACATTCTCACCTGGGGGTGGGGGGGAGTTGCCAACACTTAAAAATGCCCCTGTTAACAATGGATTTTTATGGCTAAAATGTCATTGCCTTATTTACATGGGAAATAAAAGAACATGTGTATATGCACTTATTCGGGTAAGTCTTTCATGGGAAACAATTACCCGAGTAAGTACATTTACCTGGGTAAATAATTTACCGAAAAGCGAAAGGGGGCCTTAATAGGAGTCATTGGAGAGAATTAAATGTTGGTATATATATATATATATTGTGAACATCGTGAAAATGACTTACTTGAGTTGGATTTGGAGTCGCCACCCATCGGATGAGGAAATGGAGGTGCCTGAGGAAATGGAGGTGACAGGCACCTCCAAGAATGAGCTTCAAAACGTTTTGTTTTAATAGTGACTCCAAAACCCAAGGCGTTGGTCCAACTAGTCAGGGTAAGACTTGGATGGGAGAGGGAATGGGTTAGGCACCCCTCTCCCAGGTTCAATAAATGGGGCCCACACGAAGGCTCTAAACAAGCATAAACACAATTATTTAATCAAGCGAAGACATAATAGGAACACTTAATTATTATTATTGTTCTATTTATTTTATCTTTTATTTTTTATTTAATTTTTTGATTATTTGTTTCATCATTTTCCTTTTTTATCTATTTATTACTATTTTTATTTATTTCTAGTCATTTCCTTACAGAATCCTATTTGGGTATTTATTCATTAGTTACTCACTAGCCTACTCTCTCTCTCTCCATCCCCTCTCATTATTTCTTATGTTCATTTATTTATGGGAAAATTCCCGATCAGTTGGGTACTTTGGCTCGAGTGGCAATTTGGTCCCCAAACTTTAAAATGCAACAATCCAACACCCGAACTTTCAAAATGTGACAATCCAATACCCAAACTTTTAAAATGTGACAATCTAGTACATGTCGTTAACCAGTCCGTTAATTAGCCATTAAGTGACATTTGAAAAGTCAAAAATGTCCTTCGAATGCCATCTAATTCTCTTTATCAACCATCCAAACGTTGACAAAAATTTGAACAATCTCAAATCTTAGCCTATTCTATTCAAAAAAGTTGGGGACTCTTTAAAAGAATCTAGAATTTGGGACTGTTCCTTTTATTGTCAATGTCTGGATGGTTGATAAAGAGAATTAGATGGCATTCTTAGGGCATTTTTTACTTTTCAAATGTCACTTAACGGCTTAACAAACTCGTTAACGGCATGTATTGGATTGTCACATTTTGAAAGTTTGGGTACTGAATTGTCGCATTTTAAAGTTAGGAGACCAAATTGTCACTCGAGCCAAAGTGCAGGGTACTGATCGGGAATTTTCCCATCATTATTTATTTATTTATTTATTATTTATATTTCTTTACCATTCTAAATAGGCAACTCATTCTTTCCCTTTTCTAGATCAGAGACACCAATTCGACTTCCTTCTATTAATTCACCCACTTCTCTCTTTTTGTCTCATTTCTTATCAACATGTTGCAACTATTTATCCTTCTCTTACCATCTTCTCTTTTCTTCATTCAATTTATTTTATTTTTTGAGTAAATTACAAAAATCCCCATGTACTTTGTTTTGCCATAAACCCCCTCCCCGTACTATGACCATGAGACAAAAACCCCCTTCTATTAGCCATCAGTCCAAAAAGATGAAAAGTCTACCGTTGCAATATTTTTTAATTCCCATACTACCCTTATAATAATTATTCAGACAATTTTAACCCACTTTTCGTGTTTTATACGCTTTCTCACCTTATTTCTCCCTTGCAATCGAGAGATTTCTCCTCTATAACTAAGCCCCAAGTTACAATAGCAAGGGACATCTCCCTCGCGAGTTTCAACCACACGGGATTTCTCCCTCACGAGTTTCAATCGCAAGCTCCAAGTTACAGTAGCAAGGGTCATCTCCCTCACTAGTTTCAGCCACACGAGATTTCTCCCTCACGAGTTTTAGTCGCAAGGGAGATGTACAGATCAATATCATGAGTATAGTGTGTACAAATCAATATCTTGAAACTAATCAGTTACCATTCTTCCTTTCCTCCAATGGGCAGCTTTAGTGCTTTCAGGGGAGGGGGGGGGGGTCATCCATTGAGAAGGATTAGAATCCTCAGCATTGATCTTCTGGGTGGTTTTCTGTATTTACAGTTCGATAATAGTGGTGCCACAGAATGTATGAGGAGGTGGAACTATTGAAGGTACTGTCTTAATTAATGGAAGCACTTCCATTGAGAGGATAGACGATGATTTTATTTGTGCCACAATGGACTGGTGGCCACCAGAGAAATGTGACTATGGGACTTGCAGGTGGGGTCATGCTTCTATGCTCAATCTGGTAAGTTCTATCTATTGGCTATCGATTTCATTTTCCATCTAAATTTAAGTACACATTATGATATCGTTCAACTGAAAATGGGCTAGAAATTTTATTAATCTATAGTTCCTGTTATCAAATCCCATACCCTGTTTAATGTGGGTTTCTCAATCCGTTTTTATCTCCCCTCTTTGGTTTTTATTCCTGGTAAGATTGTTCTTTTCTACCTCATTTTTCTGTTTGAGTGAAAGTAAAAAAAGAAAAAAAAAGTTGATATAAATTATTAAATGGATTCTGAGTTTGATGGTTTTCTGAAATCTGCATATTTCTTCTGCTCTTTAGAGGATCTTAACAACACTGTTTTGTTAAATGCAGTGAAAGGTACAGAATCCTGATAGTACTTAATAAACACTTCCTAATGGTTGAATTTATTAATTTTGTTCATCGTTCTTTATGAAAATCTGAAGTAGAACTCTTCAAATCTTTTTGCAGCCTTTTCACCTTTGAAGCTTAGATTAGGAGGCACCTTGCAAGATAAGGTCATATACGACACGGGAAGCCCTCCACAACCCTGCACCCAGTTCGTTAAAAACAGTTCCGAGCTGTTTGGCTTCACAGAGGGGTGCTTACCCATGTCTAGAAGCGATGAACTGAACAATTTCTTCAAAAAGGCTGGGTAAGACGACTTACCTTGCTGTTTTATTATTTTTCTAGACCACAGATCCATTTTCTTCTATAATTATCTTTACAATGCACTTTTGTTTTTTCCATAAGCAATTTCTTGTGCACGACCAGATATAAATAGATTTTAAGAGAAAAAAGGCAAGAAAAAGTTTAGTGGGGTATTTTGGTCATTTAATGCTTTTCGGACTTAATAGCGAAAGGGGTCTTTGTCAAACCGCTAAAGTTCAGGTGGGTCTCTGTCACAAAAAAAGTACAGGGGAACTTTGTCATTGACCCCTTAATACAAGGGGGGTCTTTGTAATTTGTCCTTATTTTTATTTTTAATTTTTTTTTAGGTCTGAATAGGTTTTTTATAATCGAGGTTTAGCATTGATAGCTTCCCCTGTCCATGGTATCTTCTATTGGTATTCCTACAATTGAAATGATGATAAACAAGCTGATAACCCAGGAAACAAAGTGAAAGCCATGTTCATATGAGCCTTTCAACATAATAAACACAATAAACACCAATCTAGTAAAATGAGATCTGAAACCTAGGACCTGTATTCAGATAGTTCATACTAAGGTTAAAATGAAGAACAGAGTTAAGTGAACATCACTCTATTGTAAACATTAGAGAATATAAATCATTAGACTTGGCAAAAAGTTGACCCAATCTGTGAATGCAACCCGAAAAAATAGGGCTAGGGTTTCATATTGAACTACCCGAATGTGAGAATGACCTGACCCAACCCGAAAAAAACTGGGTTGGGTCATGAGTCAACCCATTGACTTGATTGTTAGGTCTAATTGGGATTATTTATGCATTGTAGAAGTTTCCACTCTTCAATTTTTACTATTTAGCCTTTACTCTTTATTGTTTACTCTTTGAATTGTTAAATGTTCAAGTTTTATTATTTTATATTTAGAATTTTAAGGTTAATTCCTTTAATTTTGGCATTTTTCATGTATTTAATCTTTATTTTTTAAATTTTAATTAATTTTTTTGGGATAACCTGAATTGACCCATGGGTTAACCCTAACCCGAACATTTAGGGTTAGGGTCTACCATTTGGCAACCCAACCTGAAGTTCTATCGACCCAAAATCAACCAGAAGTTTCTTGACCCAACCCGAACCCGACCTACCCAACCCAATTGCTAGGTCTGTAAATCATTGACAGAGAAAAACAAAAAAATGGAGGTCTATTCTCTAGCAATTATCTTCCTTAATGAACAAAAGCATGCGACAATCAAAGCTCCAAACGGAAGCTGTGATGGGACGGGATGGGTCTTAAGGGTTCTAATGGGACCAGTTCAGCAGAGCTTCACCATTAGTTCCGATAACTGGAGGTTGCAAATCAGGGAACTTACTTAACTCGTATGTTGGCTTGAAATGAATGCTGCAACAAATGATTCGGTTGATTCCTAGTATGTTTATCGGCGAGGGGGAGAGGATACTCCGTAGCTGGAGAAGATTGCCAGACTAAAAATTGTTGCTGTTAAGAGTTGCAGTAGCAGTCGTGCAAAACAAGGGTAAGAAGAAGAAGAAGAAGAAGAATAAGAAGAAGAAAGAGAGATATAGAGAGGGAGAATAGGGCCGGAGGTGGGGGATTACCGTAGCTTGCGCCGCTGCATGTCGAGGAGGGACGAAGGTGATTTCAGAAAAAACTAGGGGTATTTTGGTAATTTTAAAAAACTAAGTCAAACCGAATTTGACGGATCAAACCGGGGGTATTGGATCAATATCTGAGATTTTGGGTCAAAATGAGGGGTTGAGATTGGCGGACTACAAAGAGGGTTGTGTAAGTTTGGGCTAGCGAGATTAATTGAAACGAGAAGGGTAAATGAGGATATTTTTGGCTGCAATTTTACAGGGTGGGGTTTTCGGACTTTTTGAGTTGATTGTTAGAGTTGGATTAGCCCAAATGGGCCCGGGTTGGACAAAATTGGAAAGGGCTTGATTCAGTCAATATAGAATCTTGAAACAAAATCTTTGTGTAATCAAGGGCCAAACAAGGTCAATTTTGGGTGAAATTTTACAAGGTAGGGTTTTTGGGAAGTTTGGGGTGATTGGTAAGGTTGTATTGGGCCAATTGGGCCCGGATGGAGTGGATTTGGAATCCAGTCAATTTGAAGCCGTAAAATGGAATCTTGGTACAATTGAAGGGTAAACGAAGGCATTTTGGGCTGATATTTCATAGGTGAATATTTGGGGTGTTCGGGATCTAATGGTGAGGTCTGATTAGTCTTAGAGGGTCAAGATCGTAAGAATTTGAGTCAACAAGATGTTTTAAAATGGAATCTTTGTTTAATAAAAGGGCAAATAAGGGAATCCGGGGTTGAAACTTTATGGGCAGATGTTTTTATGTATCCAAAGTTCAATGTATAGTTTGATCGGTTCGGATGTGGCAAGATCAAGGGAATCTAGGTTCCAAGTGTTTAGGTTAACGAGAGAGGTCAAAATGGAATCTCGGTTTGATGTACGGGTGAATGAAGGAATCTTGAGTTCAAATTCCATGGGTAGGTATTTTGGGAGGTCCTGTGTCTGATAGTTATGTCTGATCTAATGGTTGAGGTGTAAGTAGGGGTTGATCGAGGCCATTAGATAGGTATTGGGCAAGTTTAACGGTGTATCTAAGGGCTCTCGGGGTAAAATTTGGGTTTTTTGGGTTTTTGGGTGTTTCGGGGAGATTTGAAGGGTCTGATCGGATGTTCGGGGTGAATTTGAGGTTTAGGCGGCAAACCAAACAAAAATCGGATGTTGTTTATATATATATATATATATTGGAAGGGTGAGGAAATAGGACTTGATTCTCATGATACCAAGCTCATATGTTCACACAATCATTTGTAACCTTGCATTGGGAATATCTCCCCATGAAAAAAGCATACAAGTACGGAGATATTTCTAATGAATGGCTATAAAAAGACTGTGCAAATGGTGTGAGCATTGAATCCAATCTTAGAGGTGAGGGGTCCACCACAAAGCTCGCATGTGTCTCTCCCTACTTTCCTTTCTCTCATGTGTGTTTATAACAAGGCAAAATTAACACTACCTTGGAGTCTAACCCAAACTAAGGGCTTGTTCGTTTCCTCTTAACTCTTATTTCTTAAGAGGAATCTTTTAACTTTAAGAGAAAAATGGTTGTTCATTTCCTCTTATCTTTTATCTCTTAAAGTACAATCATACAACTTTTTGTTTTCCAATAATACCCCCAAAAAGACAAACAAAAACTCTCATATATGGGTCAAAATGGATATTTTATAATTTTTAGAATTTATAATTCAAAACACCATTCTCTGCATTTAAAGTCAAAGGAAAGAAAAGTTCATCAATACCAATATACCTTTTAATGTAATTATTGCACTTTCAGATGTCAAAACTTAGAGCAAACAAACAAGTACTAATATCAAAACCCAAATTTGCCCACCACATGGGGTAAATTAATTTTCTTTTGATACAAAAGTCTAAAGAAACCATTTCTCCTTTTAATGGATTATTAGGCTTTTCCCTATTTAATTTATTCATTTAATGTAGATTCTTTTCATGGGTTCTTCTGGCTTAACAATAAAATGCACAAGGCATTTAACATGAGCCTTTGGTTATTTTTGTCATTTCAATTTTGAAATTGTTTTTTTAAACTTGGTTATTGATCTTATGTTAAGCACATTTTTTAGCTTTATAGGACTATAGCAGGGGGTAGTACATCCCCTAACCTTAGTAATGATGGGATTTGAAGCTCAATAACTAAGAAGGAATTTTTTTTGTACTATTTTATATGTAAAGAATTAGAAATATATAAAAACTTTAGTGAATCACTATTATTTCATTTTTTCCATCACAAATACATTTTTTGAAAGCAGCCTATGCATCACACAAGTCACCACTAGTACATAAGTATTTACATTGCATCAGTTAGAACCCATGTAATGCATCCAAGGTGGAGCTTGGATCTCCCACCCACATCCTTACCCATTGGACACTATAGGCATGCATTAGTCATTATTTATTTATTTATTCCTCCATGGGGCTACACAACAGAGGATAGCCCATCCCCCAACTCATAACCCCCAACCTTGATACATGCGAGATTTGATCCCAAACATCTGCTACAATTAGTAGGAGGCCTTACCAACCAACCAAAGGTGTAGATCAGGTCGTGCTGGGCCGACATAGCACGACTCATGGGCAACTTGTACTTTTGGCTGGTCATGTCGTGCTTCCCTCTCCTGGGACACTTCGATGGGTCAACTCGATACGACCCATGGCCCAAGCCCACGCAGGCCAATCTGGTCCACGAGTCAAGCCTTGGGCTAGGCCAGGCCAAGTCATGAGAGGTATATTTAAAAAATGAAAAAAATAATAAAAAATCCAAAGTAAATTAACAAAAAGGGCAAAAAATTAAAAAAAGGTCTAGTTTGATGTATACAATTGTTTATATATACAATAAGAAAATGAATTAATATAATAAAATTGAAAATAAAATTATATATTATATTATTATATATATGGATCGGGCTGTGCCGACATGCAGGCCGCAAGTAGCACGACACACACACTTGTGCCATGCCAGGCCATGGGTGGCACAACCCGATTACAATGGTGGGTCCAAGTCCAGAAGTTTAAATAGCTTGTTTGTAGTATGACATGTCATGCTATAAAATCATCCTTATCAATTAAGATTTATAATTGGAAGTCTCTAGTCTCCCTCGAGAAGATGAATTAGCAATTACATCCTACCCAAGAACATGACAAATGGTATTAGAGATGGGGATGGACCCTAGCCTTTTTGGAACACATTACACAATTGGAGAGCAAGGGGTTCACTTCTGACTGTGCAAGAACTGATGATAGAAGCAGGTCATCCAAATGTTTGATAGTTTGTCAACTAGATTGGATCAATTGGAGGCTTCAAAGGAAAAGGATGCGGGTGATTTCTATAGCTCTATGGGAATTGATGAAGGGTGATTTGGCACGACCTAGTAAGAAGAGATCACGTGGACGCGATCTGCTCAAGAGGTGACAACTCAGCCAAAGGAACCCAGTCCGCAACAATCGAAGTTCAGGTATTCAGTCACCTCGGCCCAAAAACCACCTTGGCGTAGAAATACCTCGACACCCAATCCAGTTTGGAACTAAAGAACTGAAGTACCAATTCGGAGCTAAAGAGCCGAAACACCATGTAATCGACCCCAAAGGCCTCCCTAATGGACCCCAAATTTCTCGGGATCACGACGAGACTCCTCCTACCTCCGCCTGAATCGGAGGAAAACGATAAACCTTATCAACTAACGCATTGCTCTCCTTAAAAAACAAAACAGATCTTATCCGCACAGCCCAGAGATCCCAGAGCTCTTTTGTAAGGTCCACGACTACTCCACTATATAAGGACATCAAACCCCAAGGCAAAGGTACGCATGATTATTTACTTACTAGCACTCAAGCATTCAAGTATTCAGCTCGCATCCACAGTATAGAATTGACTTAAGCATCAGAACGATCTCGTCAGGTTAATCACCTCGGTTTCTCTGATCTATTATTTTACAGCTTGGTCCAGCTTTCCGTACAACTAGAATTCAGATCATCTTCTAGCTAAGAGTATCTAAATCGTGCACCATCAAGAATCAGTGGCGGATTTGCAGCATCAATCAACAACGGCTAGAGATATAGTGCTGCTGTTCATGTTCTGCACATTCTGACCATCAAGTCTGATCCAAGTCTATAACCAGTGGTAGATTATGCTAGACCAAGATGAGACAGGCATCTCACTTAGCAGCATCTGTTCCATGTCAGAACCTGCAAGAATCAGATGGCCAAAAGCCATCCGATTACGCCGTTCCTTGGCACAGGCCCATTATTAGGGGGAACCCTTATGACTAATTTTGTTCAAAGAATTTATTAATCTAGCTCCCGATTCAAGTAAATAAACTCGGAATATGTTAAAAGATTGTCATCTCCTCTATGGATTTTGGAATTTGGATACCGTGTACAAAGTACAAACCTAGAAAATAAGCTACTCGTTTAAGCTGAAAACATGAACCAAAGGAAACAATGTAACATTCAGTGGTCAGGGGTAATCTTCTATTTATTTTGGTATGAACCAAGGATAATCTGAACATACAAAGAAATGTTAGTGGTTAATGAGGCAACATTTTCTCTTTCATTTTTCTTTTCTAAACCATCAAACGTTCATGTTCTACTAAGGAGGCTATCTATTGCGAATGTTTATAGAAGCCTCCTCTTAGTAGTTAATGGAACAAAATTTGTGCATCAGCCAGAGCTTAGCTTCTGATGCTAGGAAGGCTATCATCAACAGGAAGGCTGCAGAAAATTGGATAAACACAAGCACCTTTAGCCTCCTCATTACTTTCTAACCCTCCAGGAACATGTTTGGAAATTATCTTAGAGCCTAAATTTGTGTCAGAAACTGATGTTAATGGGATTGATGGGGTTCAAAGATTCTGTGGCACCATTTCCAGATTTCTAACTGATGTGCTTTGAGTAGGCAAAAGTTCAGAAACACATCCACTCGAAGCTTTTGCTTGGAAACACGGCAGAACATCTTCAGTGGAACTCGGATCTTCAAGTGGTTTTAGGGTAGAGCCAGTAAGCCCATGTTGACTATTCTCAGGGCAAGAGAAACATGGAACCACTGGGCCATCAGTGCTGTGAGAGTCACCGGTCCTATCAATGCCTTTATCACAAGTTCCAACAGAGTCAACCTGTTTGTCTACTAAACAAAATACAGAAGTTGAAAAAATAAATAAATAAAAAGGAACTTCATAAAAGGATTTTAGCAACTAAGAGAGGCCATGATCGTGAAAATAATTACCTTTAGTATCATCTGTTTTTATGCTGCATAAGGACTTCTGCAGCAATGTTGTTTCTAAAAAGATCATCATGCTCAAATTCCGAATCTCATCTTTATGGGATAACTCTAGCGGCTTGAAGGAAAACGATGTCATCCATGTCTCCAGCAAGTCAGAGATTGCAGGGATGATCAGTTTCTCGACGTGTAATGAAGATAACATCTAGCAAACAGAACTAAATAAAGTTGATAAAAAAACATAGTAGATTTCTTGTGATAGAAATAAAATGCAAAAGCTTGGGGTTTAAATGAAAATTGATCTTTAACAACAAACCATATAAGGTAAAGAAATTTATGGTGATAAAAAAAATCTAAAATGAAGCTGTCAATGAACCATTCAACCTAAAAGTTTAAGCCTGTTGAACAGTTCCATGTCAGAATCTATTTGACCAAGTGGTCTAGTGTTTGATTCTCACTACCCCTGTTATTTTGAGAAAAGGTAAAGTATAATTGTAGTAATCAAAAAGTCCTTCGTACAATGAGAAGTTGTAAAAAAACAAACCATGACCTCAAAAAGGCCATTTTCAGGAGGACCTCACTGCCCCCATTATAATTAATTAAACTTCAGCACAAGGTATGGGTGGGCCTGTGCTTGTCAATGTTTCAAGCCTGATGGGCTTTTGTGTGAGGGGGCGTGTAAGAGAATAAAAATCTATTTAGGGACCTCACTTAACAGCTTAAGCTTTTAGGTTGGAAGGTTCCTTGAAAGAAGCCAATGCTAAATGGCATAAACCATGTTATCTAGTTTATAATAATAACACCATATTTACAAGTTTGCATACTTCTTCAATGGCTCTGAGAAGGCGACGGCACATGCCTTTTCGTCTATGTATAGGTCGTGTTCCAATGAATGGCATTTCTGCTAAACGCACACCATGGAGCCTATGGAGACAGAAATATGTAATTTAGAACCCATACGCCACCATACATAAGAGAAAACCATTAGTTTGATCATGGCTTGGCATTGCTTAACATCTATCAAAATAATAATAATAATAATAATAAACGGCTGTTGCTTAACTAATACACTAAGTTGAGAAGCATCCAGAAATAACCTAGAAAATAATCAACACAATGTAACATATAGAGGTAGCGGGAGGGGGGGTGAAGAATGAAAGAAACAAGTTATTGAGTCAATATCCATGATAAAATTCCAAAGTTCTGCAGCTCAATCTCAGTCATAAATGTGTGCAAGATTATATATAATGTTCAACTATTCTGCATTAGAAGTGCATGCTTGGAACCAAGCGGGGATGAGAAAAAGAGAGTGACTTCATTTTTTTAACTTTTCCCCTTTTGATCAATAACAAAGTGACCACTTTTTCCGGGTATATGTGTAACAATATGACAACCAAATCCAAACCATTTAATTGATTGATCATGAAATTTTCCAATTTGGCCATGAATTTCTACCTTTTTTTTCCAAATATTACACCTCCAGAAATACTTTTAACTTTATTGCCTTTTCTATTAAATTAAAACAAGATCAGAAGAATTTTATTAATGAGGTATAAAATGGATGAACAATCATCTAACATGATCTGGAGCAGGAAAAATAGACCCAAAATATGAGTCAATCAAGACAGCGAAATAATGGTAATACATCAGAAAGGAGTGCAGCCCAGTTCATCTTATACCTCCTCTCTCCAGGTTATCTGCTAAACAGTTACCCAACCCTTGTATCCATTTGAGTACAAGGGCTGTCAATGGAATTTGAAAGTCTGAAGCTTGATTTGACATCTAATCCCATTATTTTGGATTAAGATGATCCATTTGCATGATCAGGTCAGATTTGGATTTTATAACCTAAATCCATTTAATAATCAGATTGGTTGCAAATTTAACCACATCCAATCCAATTAAGATCTGATTCTGAATTTATAATTATATAAATAAGTTAATAAGTATTTAACTTTTTTTAGTTTTTCTTTATTTTGAAGACAAGTATGCAGACTCGAATCAGAATCCAATCCAAAATCCATAGATCCAATTGGATTCATATATGGCTGGATTCAACTCGATTATAGCCCTGGTAAATACAATTATCTTTTTTATTTTTTGGTGGTATACATTTCCTCCGAGAAGATTTTCTTCCATTTTATAGACAACCAAAATTTTCATGCAATAAAACCTACCTTAGGTGTTTCTAGAAAAGAAATTTAAAACCTTTTTCTTATGAGAAACTAACAGCAATCTATACTACTGAGAGTGCATAACAAATGCATGCTCATTTTTCAGCAAGGGAACAATGAGGGAAATGGAAAATAGTCTTTGCTGAATCTTTCTTTTAGATAAGTACCACAAGAATTTCCTTAAAGAAACAGAAAATGCTATACTGAAACACCATACCTTAATGTTGCCACTGAAACTATTTCATCATCCTTCTCCAAAATTATGGTGTAAAATCCTTCACAATTAAGACGGTTGTAATTTGATCTGAATAAAGAATAAGCATCTAGATGTCAAAATAACACTTCAGTATCTAAACATTGTATCTATCAGTTACAAGAGGAAAATTAACATTTTAATATTAAAAAATCCTTGCATGAAATGACAATAACCAAATAATCATATGGTGTTGATCACCGTGGCAAAAAAGGTAAAATAAACAATTAACAAATAAGTAGCATCATCGATCTCTTGTCATGTACCAAATACTGTCTGTTTACTTCATAACTTGTTGATTCTTAAAAATCTAATTTAGAGGAAATGAGCAAAGAAATTAGGTGTGATACATAAGCATTGAATTCAAATCTGTTTCTAACGTAACAATATATATCACCTGTTTGGATACCACATGAACTGGAATGATTTCATTTTACTTTTGCGTAATTTTAATTGACAGCATCTACCCGAAATGGACTAGAGCTCTCAATGGGTCGGGCAGACCTGACAGACTCGAACTGAACCAACCCAATTATATAGGGTTACCAAAATTTCAGGTATCCTCTTCAGTATCATAGTAGGACTCTACATATAATTATGTTATATCGGTATATTACAAAGATACCCCCAGTCTAATACCTATTTTCTCTTTCATCATTAAAAAAAGAACTATTTTTCTCATGGCATACCTGTATATCACATTATGATGTCCAGATGTGTCAATTTAACAAATAAGTAGGTTTATCATCAAAGTACAGGTTAAAAGTATAGATGTCAATTGTATTCTGGTCTTAATGGGTCAAACTGGAAAATCCTAATTAGGAGTTTGGTTCAGAACAGTTTTTTTTTATAAGTAAAAAAGAAAATTCATTAAAAAGAAAAAGCAAATAGAACCTAGAGAGGTGTTGAGGAAACACCTCCAAAACAAAGCTAAGGAACAACATTCTCCCAGGCACTTTTTCTTTGAAATATTTTTCACCCATATCCCAACACATCAGACCCTCAAACATCTTACAAAACCAACCACCCCAATAGAAAACATAAAAACTGAAACCCAGAAATTGAAACATTGCATGAGAACACAAACTAAGCCCGGGAACCAATGCAGAAACAACCAAAGACAACCAAGCCTCACCCTTTCATCTGCATCATTACCAACAGAACACTCTTCATCAACGAGGTCAAACTCCTCTCCTTCACCTTCTTCCCATTTCCCACCCCCTTCCTCAACTGCAGTCTTCTTATTGCTTTCCTGCCTTCAATTCAGTTCAAATTGTTCGGTTGCCTTCCTCACCAACGCTGGTTATACATATTTACTTATTGGGTCGGGATTGGGTTTGCCCTGATCCAACCCATTACAGTACTAAAATGGACCCATTTCTGACACTCCTACCCCTCCAAATGCCAAAAATAATCAGCTGCATGTTTATGTCCTAAAAACCAAAAATAAAAATCTTGAAAAAAACAGTCCCTTGTAACACCTAGCAACCCCAAAATTTTATCAACTAAACAAGGGACTCAAAAGTTAGGAGTCTAATTTGCATCATCAGATCATCTGAACTTGAACCACTGGAGGCTCCAGTTCCACCTAAAGACACCACTCTCTACATAACACTTACTCTCATCCTACATGCCACTAGAGCCCAACAGGTTTCCAGATTATATGACCATAATCTTTCTATCTCCAAACCTTCATTTTTTATTACTTAATGGAATTTCCGCTCCTGGTAAGCCAATGGGACCACTCCTTCACAAACTTATCTCACCACTTTTGCTAAAGTAGAGATGACCACCAAGGACTCACCGGAACTAACTTGGCTAAGGCAGTACGAATCTTCTGAGATGCTTCTCAACACTAACAAAGTACTCATAGGCAGAGGCACTTTGAGAGCATTTGTGGTTGCTCCATGTGGTTATACTCACTATTGCTAACTTCATTCCTCCTTTAGCCCCCCTGCAAAGATGATTCACTAAAACTGAAAGTGGAACTCACATAAACTTTTGTCTAATTGCAAGAAGGTGCTGTGCTTGTCCATCCAATAATTTTTGGAATTCTGAATATACAAGTATACATTCTTATCTTTTTTTTTGATAAATGAGTATACATTCTTGTCTTCCCAAGTGAACAAAGTCCATGGAAAAGGAATCTATAAAAGAAGAGCAAAGAGTGCATAGAAAATGAACATATATTTTGTTTCCAATATTTCTTTTGTCTAAAGAGTAAAAAAAAATCTTAAAGAAACAAACATATGTGTACAAGGAGAAAAATAGGAAACTGGTGGGGGACAAAAAAGCTTCAATTCTCCTGCTCACAAACCTCTCAAGAATGCAAAGCAAAAATGCCAGCAAGAACACGAAACTCATCTGCCAGATTTCTTTTTTGATAGGTAAGTGAATATTGTATTATAATTACATCAGAAGAAGAATCCAAGATCCCAGGCACAACCTTACATAGCTAGAAGAGAGAAGCCCTGAAACTGGAATGAATCAACATCCTAAAACAAAAAAGTTAAAAAAAAATACAGAAAAGGAGAAACAATGGAAATTCCAGGCTTGGGCCTACATTTTGTGTTCAGGCCTGGCCCAGGCCCAGGCCCGCATCATGCCTGCAAATTTCAGTGCCAAGCCTGAGCCTAATACTTCAAGCCTGGCCCAGCCCACATATAGTTAAATATAATGTATTTTATACATAATGTGTACAAATGTACATATGTTATATTATATATTTTATATAAATATTATAATACGACACTAATAATATTATATATATAAGATTGTATATTATATAATGTACAAAATAAATTTATATACATATTATATGCCATTTAATATAAAATAGTATATATATGTAATATTTTATATATAAAAGACAGCTTGGAATCAGGCCTGGCCCATGATCACCCCTAAGACAGAATGGAAATTCCCCTCCATGGCATCCTCTGTCCATGACTTATCATTGGAAGTATTTCTATTAACCTTATTCCACTCCATCACCATTCCCCCTCTTCTTCTTCACCTTCAAGTTCAAGAACCTCTCTCTCCCTACCACATCCACCTCTCCACCAGACCTATCTCCACCTAGCTCCCTACTCCATCTGATTCCTGCACAATAGTATAGCACATTTCCAAGAATATTACAGTTGCATATACTTAGCTGATTAATCTGAGGTAAAGTTTGCTCACAAATAGTTGAAAAGACAGAAAGGCCAACCTATGCAACTATGGAATATCAAATACCACCAGTAAGACAATATTATATTTTGTGGGAATGGAAATACCTAAAGGACAAAACCAATAGAAGGCCCGTGGTATCCCTACAAGAAAGGATGGAGGTAGGATAAGAGAGAGTCCCACCATTCTCTCGCAATACAAGAAAATCCCACCATGGTGAGGTGTGTTAATTCCCTGACCTAAAATTCTTTTTGGACCCAGAGAGAAAATTTAGTGGAGTTCCTTACCCTTTGCTATTTATTGGGGTGTGTGGAAGAAGAGAAAATGAGGAAATTTAATGGCTTTGATGAAATTTCAGCAGGATATTTGTTGCTGGGTTATGCATGTTGGACTAGGAATCTACCTTGAAAGAATTTAAAGGATTGAGGATCATTGTGGCCTATGGATCAGTGGATAATTGTGCAATTTATTTTATGTAAATGGGATTGATCTTCCATATCATGTAAATTTTGAGTTCTGACATGTCATTTTAGTTTGTTGTCTCAAAAAAAGGTTCCAAAGGACTTAGATATGTCATCAAACCTTATAAACGTCAAAACAACATGAGAAAGTTGATACTTCAAGTCTTCAACTTAAAATAGGAACTAATACTCAAGGATGAAATATACCCGCAACTGTAAACTGCTTGTGAAATCATATTTAAACCTGTTCTGGGGTCCACCAAAGGAGAGAAACATTCATCCAGTACAGAAAGAGCCAAGGAAAGTTTTACATTGCATTCCATGATAAAAGATAGCCTGTGACCCGAGATGGTATCCTCATCTTCATTCATACGCTTTAATAGAGTCCAAGAGAAGCCTCCTCCTAAAGGGTTTGAGATGCCAAGCATGTTTGATAGTCTTTCAGCTACCTGTAAGTATATGGAGAATATATAATTGTAATAATTATCATGCTTCCCTTTAGCTCTTCCAATCAGCATCACATGTAACTTATCAAGAAAGCAAGAGCAAAATAACCTAATAGCAAAACAGAGAGAGCTAACCCTCAGAACTACCTGATAATGGAGAACAAGGGAGTTTGTGAAAGAGATAACAATATCAACACCATAATAAAATTGACTAGAAGTTGGGCAAAAAATGCAATATGCCCAACAATCTTGGCAGGCAAAAGAATGAGTTTATATGATTTTTAAATGTCTGTCATCATTTTAAATTTTCTCACACCTACTACGACCAAATTCCATTGTATGGCATGTTCTGTCATTCTAGTAGTCATCTCACACTGCATCAATTGCTCTTCGAAAAAGTTCCACAGGCAGCAAGGCATTTCACCACATGTCATGGCACTATCTATGGTTGGTCTCCATCTCCAAATTCCAAAACACATGCATATGTGCTTAGTATTCAGCAGGAAGTTTTTGAAAAGGTTTTTATAACTAAAATTGAGAAAAGTTAGACTGGGGGAGGGGGAGTTGAAACACCAAATCAGAGGACTCCAGGATATCTAATACCCCCCCCCCCACACAAAGGATTCCAGAATCCACCAAACAGGTTCGACTAATCCACTATTCACTGTATTCTTCACAGTCCAACTTTTGGAGATGAAAAGCAAGATAAAGAAATTAACAGATTCAGGAATCCTTTTCCTTCCTGCTTTTTCCAACTTTGTTCCAATAGCTCTATACAAATACAGACTTGGAGAAGCAAAGAATGGCTTTAAAGTGCAATACTCTGAGGCTACTCATCATCTGGCAATAGCCCATCTGCTAGCCCCTGAAATTTGGAAAGTGATTCTGAGGTAATACTGCACATAAATTTTCCAGAGACCTTTTAAGACATAATCATAAACAAAACTCAAGCCAAGCATTATTATGATGCATAAACCAGAATGATAGCCTACCATGCAAAAGTTAGCATGGCACTAAACATGTCAATTTCATAATGCTGTTGTTAAAAGTCATTATGTGACAGGAGAATGTTTAGCCTTCTATCCATAGAAATCACATAATCATAACCAACACCCAAAAGAACATACCATACATACTTGATATACATTTAAGAAATCAAGAAAACAGATACAAACCTTTTTGCAATTTGTTCCACAAAATGAAAACAATTTTGAGTCCTTATCAACAACATTTTCTGAAGTACATTCTCTGTGATCTGCATGAAAAGCAAGTTGAGTGAAGGTTGCTTCATGGTCAAGATGTTATGAAAATTACCTAGAAAAGATGTGACACTGATGTTCACTCACATTTGCACCCACACTGATTACAATTAAGCAACTGCCTAGCTTGACCGGGTTTATCTTGATCATGATCAACAAGCATACAGAATGCACATCTACACATGGGACAGTACCAACTGCCTTCTGGGAGTGACTGAAACATAGGAGAAAAAATCTTAGCATAGAAACCTTGAATTTAAAGGAATTACTCAAAGAAGGGAAACAACCATATTCAACTGAAAACAGGTCAAAAGCATAATCCATTATTAGGAATTTCCTACAAAATATTATAAATAACTATTAGTACAATTTATACAAGTCAACAATAAGCATTTATTCAAAGATTATGAACAGATGAGTGATAATGATATTCCCTAATAACAATATTGCAAGAGAAGGCAGGGAAAAAGGAATCAAGATAAGATTACATAATCAAAAGCCTCATTACTAGAATGTGCATATACAGGGGATGCATAAACCAAAATAAATGACCAGGAGGTGTGGATTTTTTCTCTTTGGTCAATAATCTGGATTCAAACACATAATCTCACGGTTTCAATGTAGAATGTGAAAGTGAACTATGAGCATAAGCCCAAGGTAAATCCAAGCAAGAGATGTAATTATTTTATTAAGAGGCATTGATATGTGCATGATTGAAAGATATTGCAGAAATATACATTATCAGAACAAGCAACTAAACCCTCATCTAAATCATTCATTGCAAAAATGTTGCAAGATCTAAACAAAGCAACATGAGAAAATGCACACAAAAGTACCAAAACCGTAAGAAGCTGTCTGTCCATCCCAGAAAAGCACATCACGTCACTGGCTATTATCTTCATCATTTTTCTTTTCTAGAGCATAATGTAAACAGGTATATCACAAACAGTAAAATATCGTTGGTTAGTTGTACAGTCAATCTACATCTGTTGAAATTAAAACATAATATAATAAAAGCACACATGTAAAGGTTAAATGAAACACCTTGAGTAGTATGCAATCCTGGTGAAAGGTTGACGGACAAGCATCACAGCATATCAAGTGTCCTCCATCAGCACAAATTCCACAGGTATCATCACTAGGATCTGCATCACCAACTCCAACTGTCTGGTAAGCAATTCTTCTCCGGTTCTTTTCTTTCTCCCATGCTTCTCTCAAGCACTGCAACAATGACTTCCCAGATACAGTAAAAGTGTTAATCCACGGCTGACGAAGATCACTACCAGCATGAGCCTCAAACTCAAGCAAAGAGAAATGTTTTCTGCAACAGTTGCACCAGATTCCACCCCTTGTAATGCAACCTCTTGTTATATTACTCTTACCATCATTAGTTTTGTACACCACCTTTTCACTTTCAGCCACTGTACCGGTATCAATCATCCAAGACAGCATGCCAACTCTTGTTTCAGACAAGATATTTTCTTTACAATCACCTTTTCCAGTTCTCCTCACTATGAGACCACACCCGCCACTCCTTTTTTTCTTCTTTTTGCAATTTGAATGGCCACCCCCAACTGCCTTCCTTTTACTTGCACACGGTGAAGAATATTTCTCAGACATCAGATCCTGTCCTCTGTTATTCTTCAGTGTCGGGGATAATTTCTCAGAGACTGGAACTTTTATTCCATCAACTTTCTTTGACATCTTTTCAGGTTTGGACAGAGTACTATTACACTTCAACTGCTTCTGATCTCTGGGCTTTTTGTTGTCATGTTTCCTTGTGGCAGTTTGAAACACATCCTCTACAGCAGTCAAATTACCCTTAACACTATCTACTTCAGAAATTGAGTTCCTTGATTTTTTCTTGTCCTTTATGGCAACATCATTAACTGCAAATTGAGTTGAACCTAAAAGATCATCAAGGGTCCATATGTCTATATCCCATTCACTATGTATAGGAACATGTTTCCCATTAATACGTTTGGACCTCCTTACTCCAACCACCTCAATGCCTCTATCTTGATCATTTTTAAATATCCAGGAAGCACTTGAATCCAACTTTTTGGTATTATTACTGACATGTTCATATTTTGTTTGGGGCTTTGCCTTCCCATCCGCAACACAAGATTCCAAAATGTTGTGTGCTTTTTGACACTTGCTTTCTCCTGGAATTGGCAAGGCTTCCATGGCATTTTCTTTCTCAGTTTCCTGCACCAATGGCATATCCTGCACTGATATGTCTACAAGATTGCATGATTTTCTGATATCACATGCATCAGAAGACATCACCTCATTTGACTCATTACATCTCAACTCCGCTGGCATTACTGAAGCTTCATTATCATTTTCTTTCTCAGGTTTCCGCAACTCTACTTGAATATCCACTGTTAGCATGCCTAAGGAGCTGCAAGATTTGTCTTTCACCTTCTCATCTGCAATACAAGATGCCAATACCTCATTTACTTCCCTGTATCTCATTTCTTCTTGAACTGGTGAGGCTTCCTCATCATTTTCATCTTCAGGCTCATGCTTTCCTAGTAGTAGATCTGATGGTAACGAATCTAGAAAATAATCATCATCCCGTGTTTCTATGTCCAATTCGGTATGTACAGGAACATGTCTCCCATTAATACGTAGGGATCTCCTTACTCCATGCAACTCCCCATTATGGCCAATTCCAGCATTTCTGTCTTGAGCATCCTTTGTCAAGGTCTTACTGCAGCAATTCAGACCCTGGGTTTCACGATTCAAGCATTCACCATGTGTACTGGATTTTACCTTCTCCTTCACTACCACTGCCTCAGGGGCTCGTTTATATTCCTTTTCTTCTCGCAACAGTAATGCTTCCCTTTCTTCATCAGTCTCCAGTTTCTTTACAAGCATATCACCCTTTAAAATAAACACGCATTTAGATGAATCTAGGAGATCTTCACCAAGCCTTGTTTCAATGTCAGACTCATTATCCACAGGTACATGTTTTCCATTGGACAATTGAACTCCAATGGCATCTCTTTGCATATCATTATTATGCTTACCACTATTCTCTGTCACTATCATACTGCTAAAATTCTTCTTTTTTGTTTCAGTACTCAAGGATTGATCTTTTCTACAGGTTCTACCCGTGTTATATAGCATGCAATGTGCCATGACATTTTGTGATTCTTCAGATCCCATTTCCACTGGGATTGATGAAGATTCCTTGGAACTTTCTGAGTTATTGAACAGTTCTTCCTCTAGGCTTCTGGTTGCAACAGATTCTATCTCAGGTTTAGTCCTCCCCTGTTGATCAACCTGTGCAATGAGTGGCCCATTTTTTCTACCCAAAGCAGGAATAGAAGAATCTAAATTACCATGAAGTCCATCATCATCCATTGATCTAGATGATCCTCGTTGCCTCTCTCTACAGTTAAAAGCATCATTTGAAGAGGCATCCAGAACTTTTGAGAGGGGCCCGTAAACAGTACCTGATGGAGAGATATATAAGGGATCACGACCACCTTCTTGTGCTTTAACCACCCATCCAGAAGGCAATGTAGGATGCTTGAGGCCATCGGGTGCAGGCAAACATTGAACTACAGACTTTGAAACAACTGTGCCAACATCTTCCTCTAATTGGGTCTTTCCATTTTGGCTACGTTTTGCTGTTGTCGACCTTCTGCGAACCGAATTTCCCTTCTTCTTTACATCCGATGATCCAATGCCGGTCTCTTGCTTTGGTAACCAGTCTGGATCCCCTTTCTGTTCTTTACTTGTCTTACGCATTCCTTTCTTCTGGTATTTCCGTGAGGCACCAGACCCACTCTTTGCAGCTTCTCCCTTAAACCGTGAAGCAGCCATAGTCGTTCCAAGATGGTAAGTGCCGAAGTCATTCAGTGGCTTCCCGGCATTAACATAAGCACCCTCAGAATCCCCAGAAAACACACCATGCGGCGAAGAGTAGTCGAGGCTACCACCATTTCCTCTCCCAGTAGTTCCTGCACCGAAACCGAGGTTCAGGGAAGAACCATGCAAAACCCCATTCACCACATCATTCGCCGGGATAATAGAACCACCTAACCGACCACGAATGAACTTCAAACTATTCTTCTCTTCGCCCCCAAACCCCTGCGATTCCACAGCTGAAGGAACAACCTCATTGATTCCAAACGAATAACCAACCAATTTCGCAAACGACATCCTTCAGTCAGAAACCATGACTGGAACGCGTAATCCTCGACAACCCAAAACAACTAACACTCCCATCTCCCATTAAATCAATCACGTTTCCCTTCCCTTTCCTTCCAACGCATTCCAACTTGTCATTCGCATGCATTCAATCGATTGGATTTCCCTATCAAAGATTCCAACAAAATACTAAAAAGACGAAAGAAAACCGCAACAGATAGAGATAAAAGAGGATCCAGAATCTCTATAAAGATTCAACCAAAACCCAGAAACTGATTGCGAATCTATTGACTTGAAATGCTAAAAAATCGACGAGAGTTTCAGAAACCTGAACTCATCTACCCTTTAAAACCTCAAAACAATACCGGATTCATTGACTGGTTCATTTGATAGAGGAAGTGCAGAACTGCAAATAAGTAATCGAATAAATAACAAAACCCAAGGCTCCAAAGAAATGGCAAGAAAGATAGAGAAAGAGGGAGAGAATCGAGAGATGATGAGGAATGCGAGATGCTTTCCTGTTTCCTTTGTGTCGTTCCGAAGAAGGTGACAGGCTAGTATATTAGTCGTTAAAGGTGGTCTAGGACTTCTTCGACTTCGAGCTGGATTTATTAAGTGCTTAGTTTACTTAATCTAGTATTAATTAATTGATTAAAACGCTTACTTTGATGGTGAACATGATTAATTACTTTGTTTAATAACTGTAATTATGATCTTAATTTTTCGGTTTTTTATAGTACACGTTAGTTACATTCAACAGTTGCATAGGAATGTCAATGGATCGGGCTTAACATGTTGCATAGGAATGTCAATGGATCGGGCTTCTAGTTTGACACGATAGTACCAATCTCACTGAATATTTTGACACGTGTACGTAACATGTTGCATAGGAATGCCAATGGATCGGGCTTCGCACGGCTTTAATTCAACCCGAACCCGACTAAATTAAGAGGAATTGAGGACATGTCCAATCCGACCCGACCGCCTACGCATATTCCAATGCTACAATATCAAAAGGTCGGGTTTAGTACGGATAGAAGTGGCAAATGGGTGGATTGGATTGGATTGGATGTGGGTTGAGTACCAATCCATCCAAATTTATCCAATAACTCATTTGCTTTGCCACCCATGTTAATGGATTCTCACGAGATCAAATAAGCCCTCCACAATGTCTCACTACACATTCTCGCCGTGCATTAAAAACATCTCTTGATGATAATATCGGAAATGATAATGTCATCATCGAAAGATGTTCCCAATACATGGCGGGGATGTGCTGTGAAACGTTGTTGGGGGCAATCTTGTGGGGGGGCTGATTTGAATTTGGTTCTCACATCGCATAGATGGAACCATATATTTAAACTTAAAAACATAAAAAATTCAAAATTTTCAGAAAAATAAAAAATGCATAAAAACACAAAAAAAGTAGTAAAAACTATACATTTCATGTAAAACATAAAAAATTTACAAAAAATACAAGAAATTTGAAGAAAAATGCAGAAACTTGCATATTATATTAAATATTACATCTATCAAGAAACAAAAATTGATAGAAAATTTTAAAAAATTATATATTTCAGTAAACACAAAATAAAAACAAAATTTGAAGAAAAATATATAGATTGATAGAAATTTTCTAATAATATATATTTGAGGAAAATAAAAGTAAAAATTGTAAAAGAAAATGTATTAATTGCAAAAACATATGATATTACAAAAATTGCAAAAACATAAAAGATTACAGAAATTGCAAAAGCAAATATAAAATGTAGAACAATGAAAAAATTATAAAAACATAGAAGATTAAAGAAAAATGCTTCTTCTCACACATGATGATCCTTCATTACGTCAAAATCTAGAAAGGGCCTCATTGAGTCAAAACCCAGAAGGAAAATACAGAGTACTCTTGTATGTTCCCACAAGGACATTTTCGCAAACATGTTTGTTTGTCAGACAGGAATGGATATTGATGGTGTTAATGGCGACAACAATGGTGAGACCGACAATTTAATCCAAGATCTTTTTTCATGAAGAATAAACTATGGCTATTGAAGGTGAGGAGAAGTTTAAGAGAGTCTAGCTTCAAAAAATCATTATTGTGTATACTCATCTGGTGAATGTAGCTACTGAGTTCGAAACTCTAGGGTTCTTATTATATATATATATATATAAAGAGAGAGAAAGGAGGAGAGGTTTGTTGAATCAGGGAAGAAGATGATGCAATGAGGTAAAATGGAATGGTCGGTTGTTATCTGATTGTTGGAAGGCTAGACATAGCTGCTTTCAATGGCAGTTTTGTTCGCCTAAAATCCCAATTTATACTAAGTTCCGATTATAAACCAAATTTTGAGATGGATTCAACCTTGTAATTGGATAAAGAAAAGAGTAAGGGAAATTGTTGTTTCAATGGTGGATCCCTAACCCAAAGATCTTCCCAAAATAGGATCCTCTCCCCATTGCCCACATCAAACCAAGTGAAACTGAGAAAGGTTGGTAATACCTAAGGTTTTTGAACTGATGTTGACCTGCACGGTCAGATCGTTTGACCGGGGAACCATCTAAGCAACTGGTTCCATTTTATCCCTAATTCGGTCCTTGCCCAAAAACCGTTGAATCAGTCAATGACCTGCTGACTCAAGCAGTCGAACCATCAACCTGTTTGACCTATTTAACGGTTTTTGGTCATTTTTTATTTTAATTATTTTTTGTCAAAATGGGCCATCTGTTTAGACTAGACGGTCGAATCATCGACCTAGAAACCAATGGCCAGAATAGTCCCGATTTTGGGTCATTTTTTAAAATATTGGTAATACCATTATTATTGCTTTCCAAGGGATCTTGAAGAATTATGAGTTGCCAAATTTGCACCCCAGCCATTTCTACCATACCGTGAACACTTTTAATGACCTCGTGTCATGATCTATCTCTTTCTAAAGGAAATATCCAGAGCCATTTTCCTAGTAGAGTTGTATTTTCTTTGTTAGATTCTCAATTCCAAGTCCTCTTAATTCTTTAAGTTTGCATACATGTTCTCATTTTATAAGATGATCTCTTCTTTCATCTCTCACTTCCCACAAGAAATCTTTCATAATTTTCCCAAGTTCTTTGCAATCTTGATTGGTATTCTAAAAGTAGAAAGTAAGTAGGTGGGCAAGTTGGCTAAGGTGCATCTAATTAGAGTAACTATTCATCCCTTATAAATGTAACTCATCTTCTAAAAAGCTAACTTTTTTGTAAACCTTTTTATTACTAGTTTCCAAAACTTCCTAACCTAGGATTACCCCTCAATGGCATACCAAGATACTCTAGGGTCCAACTCATAATTTCATAACCTAGTATTTCTACCACCACTTAAATATTTTGTCCTCCCATATTAATTCATGCCATACAAATCTTTCCCCAATTCACTTTCAACATTGATACCCTTTGGAATCTTTCGAGTAAATGTTTTAAATTCCTCTCATTGGATTCGCTATAGTTCTCACAAAAGATGATTAAGTCATTTGCAAATTACAAGTGGTGGTGACAACAATCTCCTCCCTACCAACTCTTTATCCCACTTCAACTACGAAGGTAAGATGGTCCTTACCTTAATCCTCTTTTTGCTAGGAAGAAATCCTTAGCTACTCCATTTACTAAAACTAAAAAAATGTACTAAGCTAATGCATCCTTTAATCCAGTCCCTCTACCCCTCCCCCAACCCAAGCTTTTCCAAAAAAAAAAAAAAAGGAAAAACAAATCCACCATTTCATAGGCTTTTTCTAGATCTAGCTTGCAAATTAGGCCTCTCCTTCCTTGTTTTTTCTTTTCAGTTACACATTCATTTACCATAAGGATTTGATCTATTATTTGTATCCTCTCTATGAAAGCTCATTGATTTTAAGAAATTACCAAAAGTAACACAAATTTCAATATTGTTGTTAAAATTTTAGCAATGATTTTATAGAGGCTCCCAATAAGACTTATGTGCCTAAAATCCATTAGGGGTTTTTGTCTCTCTTTTTGGGCACTAGAGTAAGGAATGTACCATTCATGCTTGGTGAGGTTTCCCTTTATGGTGAAACTCAAAAAAGAAAAAAAAAACCTCCATCAAGTTAGCTTATAAGATTTGTCAACATTCTTGATAAAAAGCTATACAAAAGCAACCGGGACTCAGAGTTTAGTTCTCTCCACTGAGAAAGTTGCTGCAACAGACCTCCTCTACAATGAATCTGCTTTCAAGTAGGGCAACTTAGGTTTCAAGCACTCTAATCCAATCTAGACCCTCCAGTTTAGGTGGTTGTCACCTACAGTGGCAAAAATTGATTTAAAGTGACCCACAAAACACTTGGTAATTAGTTTTCTCCTCCCTATCTGTAACACCTTTAATCTCAGTGTTAGTAATTAGATTTTTCCTTCTTCCATTTGCCAAAAAGTGAAAAAAAAATCGTATTATTATCTCTTTTCAAGAGTCATTTACATCTTGATTTTTGTCTCTAAAAGATTTCTTCATTCCTTAAGATCCCTTCTAGATCTATTTTTAGGTTCCACTTCTCTGTTCTATCCATTTTTTCTAGCCTCCTTTTGATCTAACTCTTCTTATCATTTTCAAGATTCTTTTCTTCAACCCCTCTAATCTTCCATACTCTTTTTTATTCCACTCTTTAATCATTTCTTTCAACCTCTTCATCTTTTTCATGAAGTAAACTCATTTATTCCTCACATTGATTCCCCCTTCCTTCTACCACACCTTTCAACAAATTTTGGGATTTCTAGCCACATGTTTTCAAATCTGAACCGAATGGGCCTCTTATTTGAAACTCTTGGTCTAGGCATAAGGATAGTAGTCAAAGGTTACCCTAGATGATACCTTAAGAGCTAAGTTACACCACAATTCTTCCTAATCTATTAAATTAAAAAAAAATGAGATTCTTGGAGATTTACCAAGTAAAGAAAGCATTTAATAAGGGAGGTTCTTTTAGCTCTAAAGAGTCCACTAGGGTATTGAAATTCCTCATGCTCTTGGTTATGGTTTGTCTTGGGTTATTTATCTCATTTGTGAATCTAATAACATTGAAATCTCTCCTAAGCACCACAACCTCTGATTGTAGCTATTTCTTCCCAAAACACACACCTATGTATATATGAGTTGGGGCCGTAAACATTTGTTAGGATCCATTCATTATTTTTGCTTTTATTAAGATTGAGTATTGTCCAATCAGTTTTTCCATACACTCCATTTCCTCATTTCTCCAAATAGTAATTATTCCTTCTGAAGCCTCAAGGAGGGGGCAAAAGACCAATTCAAACTTCTAATGTTTAAGATACTCCTTATCCATTTTCTATTCAGTTCTAAAAGCTTTGTTTCTTGCAACATTAAAATATCTAGTTTCTCTTTTCTTACCACATTTCTCATCAATCTCCTATTTTTTGAGCTCCCTAAACCTCTTACATTCTAACACAATATTTTCATTTTCACTTGTCAACAAAGCCCTATCCTTTTTCTCCCAACTACTACTAACCGCTTGTTTTCTCCCTCTTCAGCTTTCCCCCCATCATAGGCCACTCCACTA